ATTATTTGAAGTTTTTAAAAAATAAATTTAAAAAGTAGGATGTATTATACTATCTCAAGTTTAATCTATTATTTTTTATTTAAAAAATAGTTAATTCATTAAATATAATTATTATTTTAATAATAATAATTAGGTATCAAGTTTTTAGTATTATAAATTAAATAATTAATCATGTTAATTTTTAGCATTCATGTATAATAAAAATTATAAATCTTTATCACATTGTTTAAAATTATAAATTAAAAAGTATAACTAGATATTAAGTTTTTAGCATTATAGATCAAATTTTATGTTCTTTAAAATCTTTATCATATTTTTAAAATATTTTAAATATATTATATTTGTATAATAAAAATTATAAATCATTATAAATAAATATTTTTTTATAATTGTACATTCAAAAACACATTTTATTATTATAATCCAAACAACTTTTAATATATCAAATTAACTTTTAAAAAAATATATGAAAACACAAATTTCATTACAACAACTGATTTTTACTAAATTAATTTTTATCAAATAAATTTTTATTAAAAAATTTTTTAATAAACTAAAAATTAAACACACACTCAATTCATAGTATGGGTGAAGAGAATTCAATGAGAAGGACCTTTTTAATAATTGTACGTTCAAAAGCACATTTTATTATTATAATCTAAATAACTTTTAATATATCAAACTAACTTTTAAAAAAAATATATGAAAACACAAATTTCATTACAACAACTAATTTTTATTAAATTAATTTTTATTAAATAAATTTTTACTAAAATTTTTTTAATAAATTAAAAATTAAACATACACTCAATTCATAGTATGGGTGAAGAGAATCCCAATGAGGAGAACCCTTGTGTCATTGCGTGCTTGCGATGAGCTTTATTCTGGACGAGGAACTTCATAATCTCGCGCAACCGGCTATTGAACATCGTTAGTTATAAGAAGCTTCCATGATATAATTTAAAAAAAGACAAATATTTATTAGTGAATTTATTCTAAAATTGTCTCTCCTTTTTTTGCGTTCATTAAATATCTCTTTCTCTCTCTATTACTCTTATTAAATAATAAAGAATATTTTTTACAAGTTTGCTTTTTGGGGGGGTTGAAGTTTAACATATATTTAGTTCATTTCATTGGCAACTTGATTTTAAAAAATGTTTGTAAAATAAAATGGAGGGAGTACATATCTTCACTTTCATATGAAGTGAAGTTACTAAGATTCCGCTCTAAGAGGGGGCTAAATCGAGTTTTATAAAAATTTAGTTAATAATAAATTTAAAGAGATGAGTCACCAAAATATAGTAGAGAGTAAAAAGAAAAGCTTGCACAGATTATTTATCCTGATTTAGTCATAACTACTCAAGCCTATGCCTTCAAATATTACTTGAGATTTTTTCCACTAACTTTACTAGGGTTAATTTGCGCTTTTGGTAGTCTTAATATAATTTCAGACTTATACTAAAGTCTAAATTACTCCCCTTACAAAGACAATAATTTATTTCTCTTAAACTTCTAGAATTTAAGATACTTTGTTCCACCAAAAAAAAAATAAACAAACAAAGTAAGTTTAAAAATGAATTACTTCTATCAAATATTCTCTTTAAGCTCAATGAATACAAACTTAAAAAATTGATAAAACCATAAATGAAGTAACTTGCATTGCTCATTTGTGTGCATTCTTATTCACTATCTTCATAAATGCTTCAATTTAGTTGTGCTTCATAAATGATCTACTAGATTTATGAATATGATAGTTGGAGTTTTCATCTTCTTTCTTTTAAGCTTTCTCCGAAAAAGAGGCAATTGTATAGTGCCTTATGGTGAAGTTTTTCTCTTTCAATAAGTAAAGAAAATAACGGTTCTTTATAATAAATATTTTAACAATGTAGGTAAGAGCTTATTTCAGAAGAACAAAGTTATTTGAGAATAAAAAATTTTTAAAATAAGATCAATAAGTATTTAATCTAATCTGAAGTTATGTTTAAAAGGTTTTTAGGATTATAAAATAACTAACACAACTTTTAGAAGATGAAAATAATAAGAAATGATGAAGCTTCAAAGTTGCTCAAAAAGAGACATGAAAGCAGAGCATGAAACTTCATGCTTATTTGGAAATAAGCTGACTAACTTATTTCTAAATAGTGAAGAACAACTTAACAAGAATGCAGAGAAGGCTCTTTTGAAGTAAGGATCATATATTTGAAGATCCTTATTTCAAAAATTGTTCGGAAATAACTAACAATAAAGAAACTATTTTGAAATAAGGATTACGACACAGACAACTCATAAAAGTTCTTAGAATCTATGAAGTATCAATACTTTAAATTGTTTCACATATCTATATCAATATTGTGTTTGATACTAATACTTCCCAGTACTTCTTCGATACGTACATGTAGAGTATTGAAATATTATTTTTTAATTTTTAATTTTTTTTTTCATGTGTATTCGATACTTTTAGATTGCAAGTTAATACTTTAAAATTATTTTTAAAAAATTAAATTTTGTTAAATATTGTGATATTAATTTTTTTATTCCCAATATATTTTTGTGATTTGCTTTTAAAATCAGATATTAGATTTTCCTTAAAAAAAAGTTTTAGATACAATAAAAAGATAAAAATTATACTTTTTTAATTATAACAATGTAAGAATATAATCTTTTGGCATTTAAATCTTAGGTGAGAAATTATAAGTCCAATTAATGAAAGTACAATTAACAATTATGTTTTACTTGATATTATTTTATAAGACTAAATATGTATGCTATTTTGGATATTTTTAAAATTAAAATTATATTTTTAATATTTATTATATATATATATACACCTATGCACTAATAGAAAATGTATGGTATCCTCTATTTTTAAAAATCAAAGTATCAAAGTATTGTATCTGATACACATATCAATATCCATGTATCATAGCTCAGAATTTTGATTTTTGATTTCAAGATCAATTGAAATACCTTTTAAGTAATACAAATGGTCCTTAGAAAATTAATATCAAGTCAAATATTTAATTTTTAGAGAGAAATACAATATGAGTATAAACAAGAATTGATTAAGTGGTTCTTCATTACTTGAGAATAAAATGCATATTTGGTAATAATGATATACCTATATGAGAATAAGATTCGAGAGCCATAATTTAAAATAAAGACAATCAATTCCCTTTCAAGTTGTTAATTCTTGATTATTGATCTTGTAAAATATAAACTTCTTTTATTTTATAATGATTAAAATTAGGGTTCAACAGTTATACTTTGTTACGTTTGTTTTTATTTAATGAATTGTCTTTTTTTTTTAATTCCGCTTATCTCTTCACAAAAAAAAACTATCACTCATGCTTTTTAGAGCTTGTCAATGCTCAACAGTACAGTAGGGCTTTAATCCCCCCCGCTCCCAACTTTCTCCCATTTAAAGGAGATGCGATATCATCGCCAATGAGCTGTAGGTCAAATGACATGATCTCCCACCTTGCTGCAATGAATAAAACACAAGCCAAGAGATTCTTGGTTTTAATTAACAAAAATGATTTTGAAAGTGAGCTGCAAGAAACTAATCTCATATCATAACAAAGGACAATCCTTAACATATTCAATTCACTTCTTTTATGTATAAGATTCAATAGTAGTTAGGTCAAGTGAAAGAGACTCAATTTCTCTTAAGCAATATCAATGATTCAAACTGTATATAAAAATAAATCATATTGAGAAAACTATTTACATAAATTTGACCTATTAATTTCGGATATCAAATTTGTACATAAGAAGCATTTGATCACTTGAGATTCAAATTTCATTCAAAACAGCACATTTCATTAAACCAATGGCCAAGTTGCTACAATCATAAACAACAATCAATTTGCCCAAAAACAAATACACATAAATAGCCATTAAATGGACAACATTAGATTGGACTCATGACAAACATTACCAAGCCACCACGATTTCACTCCAACTCAAGAAAGCAAATGAATCTTCTTTCAATTCCCCCCCCCCAAAAAAAAAAAGAAAAAAACTTTTCTTGGTTTCAAAAGGCAGGGCCATAGAGAGAGACAATACATAAAATTATATATGTTCGTATGTCTACGGTGTACCATGTCTCAAACCCAAAACATCATGGAATGTAGAGGTGTTTATGATACCCAATTACCCGGTATGTCCAGCCCGACCCAAAAAAAAAACACAAAAAATTCTATACATGTCTGGGCTGAGCAATGTGCGGGCAGGGCTGGGCAGCAGGTAAGTTATGCAACCCTGCCCATTTAGCCCAGCCCAATATTTTATAATTTTTTTGTTAATTTTTTTATTAATTTCTTGCAAACTTTTCTATGATTTCTTGTTAATTTTTTTAACAAACTTATATATTATTGTTAATTCTCTCATATTTTGTTTTCCATTTTGCTTTAATTTTTCATGTATGTTCTTACAATTTTTTTATTTAGTTATGACGCATTTTTCCTCTTCCATTCATGCAAGTTGAGAATTGAGAAGAGGCTTTTTGTAAATTGAAGCCTATTCTTTAAAATTGTTATTTCTCATATGATGCTCCAAGCTTTTGTTATTTTAGATTATAGCTATTATTTTGAATTGAATTATGGATAAATTGATATTGTGTCAAGACTTGTGGTAGTTTTAGATTTCAAATTAGATGTTGAATTATGGATAATTGGATATTGTGGCTGTTATTGTGAATTTATAATTTATGATTTTATGGATGCTATTTTGAATTGATGTATAGGGTTATTATTGTTGATTTGTGATAGTTTTATTTTGAAATAATCAAAAGGGTTGTGATTTTATGAGCAGTGCAATTATTTGATGGGTTAAGCGGTCCAAAGTTATCCAACTAGCCCTGCCCAACCCAAATTAATAGAGTATTTTTACGGGTAGGGCTGGGCATCAGGCTGCAAAACATTCTTCAGGCTGGGCATCGGGCAGGGTCTTGTCCAACCCAACCCTGCCTATGTGCACCTCTAATGGAATGACCAACAACATACCAGAAATCCGCAGGAAAGGCTGGTACATGCATGCATATATATATATATATATATATATTGGTCCTATTAATTAGCCAGTAGCATCCCCTTCACAAAAATATCTCAGGATTGATGATTGCTTCATCACTGCATGGTTATGAAACATGTTATTAACATCATTATGACCGCTGTGATGGGGTTGTCTTTTTCTCAGCCAGGAATGGTTTGAACATCATCAGCAGGCCCAGTGCTTCCACTAGGTTCAGCACAAAAAACACCAAATGAGTACCTGTGGTTAAATGTCCCAACGTTAGTAAGCTTACAGAATTGCAGCTACTGAGCTACTTCTATGAAACACAAGGGATGGATATTCTAATATATGCAGTCAAGACATATGGGAATGGATCTGGTGCATTTCCATGCGGATTTCTTTTTTTTTTTTTTTACTATTAAAGAGATGTGAGAAATAAGAAAAAACTAGTTTTTAGCCCGCGCATTGCACGGGACATTAAGCGATTAGAAGACTAATTAAAAAAGGAATAGAGACATGAGGGGGGATCAAATGCCTAAATATGAAGTGGCTCTTTATTGAAAAAGTTAAGACTATTGAGACAAAATAAAGCTTCTCATGATTCTTCATTAACAAATAACTTTCTCTGGCAGATCATTAAAAAAAAAAAAAAAATCTACCACCAATTAACTTGTGTGCCTGCCATGTCAGGTCCTAATTGGGAAAGATTTTAATAAAATTGAATGTAATTATGCTTATATTTATTTATTTTTCATTAATTTGTATTTTAATAGGCAAAATAACAATTAAAAAAAATAAATCAAACCAAACAGAAAAAGTGACCCAAGCCTCAGACCTAGGCAGAGGTGCACCGCCAAAAAGTTTTCACTACTGTCAACAGGCCCACAACACACTCAATTAACAACGGATTAACTTAGATATTTTTTTCACCATAGTTTTACAGTAAATATGGATGGGATTTACAAGAAAGGAAGATGTGTACGGTGTTAATTAATAATAAAATAAGAGATGCATGCCATATTCCATGACATGGTGTTGAGTAGTAAAAAATGTATGCATTTTATTTTCTCATTCAAGAACTTTATCTCGAAAATCAAAAAAGCAATGTACCTAAGCATTTTCCCTCACTCTTTCAAGTCTTGAAACAGAATATGAAACAGAGTGCAGCACAAAAGATTAAATGAGCACCATACCCGGAAGGAAAGAAGCATTTAACCGCTTTTGCGACCAAGTTAATCTGCATCGACCAAGATCGTAATTAGTGAACTACAGATAAGTTTTATGGCACGTTTGGATTAATAAGAATTTAGATTTGAATTTGGATTTAGTTTAAATCCCTCATTTAGATACAACAAAATTCATGAATTTGGATTTTAATTCAAATTCAAATCCATTTCTTGTTGCAATTTCTTGTAATTTCAAATTTCCTCTATACCCTAGTTACTTGAAATTTCAGTCACTTCAAACATGTCATTCTCTTCGTGTTTCCACTATTAATGTCTCTATAACTTTCATATTTTTTTCTTATATTTCATTCTAGTCTCTTGTCTATTAAAAAATAAAGATAAACTTTTTTTCTATTTTTCATTTTTGTTTTGAATCTCAACCCATCTATCTTTTTTATTTGAAAATTTTTAAACTACACAAACAAAAGATTTTAAATACATGAATTTAAAATATAAGATTTCAAATATAAAATTTAAATCCAAATCTGTCAATCCAAACACTACCATAAAATATTGCATTTGCATGTTATGGAGAAGGCATGTTAACAGAAATGTGTTTCTCCATTTTCATTATAACCTCTAAAAACTCTCCAAGCAAAAGAAGACCAAGATTGTTCCTTTAAGATATATTCTCCTTAAACAACAGAAAGTTTGAACTGGCACTTTTAGAAATATGATAAAAGAACCTAGCAACTTTCAGACAGATAAGAATCAGATCAATCTAACAGATTATACATAGAACATCAACGGTAAAAGACTTCTGGACTTAAAATCACCCATAGAGTCTCAGGTTAATTAATGAAAACCTCCCACCAATTCACATTTACAATTTTTTTTCTTTATTTTTTGGTGAAATAAAAACCTTTTGGTTGACGAAAAAAGTAAATAAGCTGTTCTAGCTCCAAGGCAACATGCAGAGAACTTGGTATATGACTACCAACATAGGATTGCAGATCATAGATCATTAGGGGAAGAAATCAAACCACAGACCGTTTGGTCAATGTGGCTTGATCCAACCGATATTGAGCTAACCTTTGTTAGCACTTTTTTTTTTTTGGGGCTAAAAATGAAAATCCATTCAAAAAACAAAACAGGGAAAAAGAAATAAATGCACACTTACACTGCTCCACCTCCAGCAGGGCCAACTGCTTTGAAAAGTGACATAGCTGTCATAGCAATACCATTAGCCGCTCCTCTTTGGTGTTGTTCCTTTTTTTCCCCAATCAACAACCATATTAGCCCAACTCAATCATGATGATCTCATAACTTCTATAAGGAAGAAAAAAGTAACATTAAATAATGAACTGAACATGAAGAATTTACCACTGCTCTGTTTTGCAAAAGGAATAAACTGGTATCAATTATTGTCTGGCAAAGAAAAAAATTAACAATCAGGAAGATCATTATGTAGATATATGTTTCGTGAAGGAGATAGTATGCTGTTTTTGGCATTGTTACATGTTAAGACAACAATCGCCTTCTTCTCTTCTCTCTATTTTTTCCTTTTCTTTTATACTGAAAAAGTACAACTTATGAAGCATGAACACTTCAAAAGAGGAGTTGCATCATCGTCAAACAATCAGAAACTTGTGTTAGACACGACATGCCATTACATGATACTTATACAAGCAACTACAATTTATTGTGTTAATTTTCTGGCAACCTATAAAGATTATTCTATGCCAGCCATTTTACTTCACCTTAACCCCTCGATGTAACAATCTGGTTGGTGAAATCAAGAAACAGATGCACTTACAGGGAAACATAACATAAAGACGGAAGCAATAGTTATCACTAGATGCAGTGTGAAGCCAGATAACATCGCTATGAAAGGGTAACTTTGCAAGAGAGGGATGGATAAAGCCTGCACGTGGTACCCAAAAAATGGTAGAGATTAAAAAATACTGACAAGGAAAATGCTGCATCACAGTAACTATTGCATGATAGTGAAAGCTCACCGCTGCAATGCGAGCAAGATTAATGGGTCCAAATGCTTTCTCCATAGGTGAATAAAGGAAGATTTGACAGAGCAAAAGAGCAAATCCTAACCAGTTGACCAATGTTCAATGCTAATCAGCATAATCTCTACGTGATAAATACATCAATACATGGGAAGCAAGAAAACACAATTATATCATTGAAGTGCACATCTTTTCTATCTTAAACTAGTTGAATTTTTCATATATGTTGTACTTGCTGATTTTTCTTGTATGAGTATCAAGGAAGTCTGAACAAATCTACATTCATAAAAGAGGTTCAGTCAAAAACAATTTTATCAAACAATTTGATTTATAGTCTAGCACTACGTGATTGACGCTTTTAAAATTTGCACTGCAAGTTATGTTTTCTTTGAAGAAGTTGATAAGAAACACTAAAGAAACTTCATCAAAATTTTCTCAACAAAATACCAAAGTTCAGGTAATCGTCTAAAAGCATCTTACTCTTTAGTTACCAACGTTTGAAAATTAAATAACTGAAATTTACTCAACAAGATTTTTTTTTTTTTGGCCAAAAAGTTTACTCAACAAGATTGGATTACATGATATGCATAGTATATAGGATCTCATGCAAGCGGTTATGTTTATGTATAATGTTTGGGGTTGGAAGGTTAGGAAGTAAGTCCAATTTACAACAGTAATGTATATATCTGGAAATTCATTGTCATCAAGGATAAACCTGATATTGAAAGAACATCACCAACATCATCCGTTGTAAAGTTCAAACCCCCCAGCTCTAGAGGACTGACAGCCCATAATGAGAAAACCTGCAGAAAGTAAAACAGTGCTAACTTATAGCCTCAAGAAAAAAATGCAAGAACCTCATTTGCTCCACAAGGACGGGTTCATTAACAATTCAATGCTACATGAACTTTTTCAAAGATTGTGTCAAGGAGTATCGATTTGATAATCAATCACAGCATTTTTCAAGAATCAAGCTTAAAAGGAAGTTATTTTTCACTGCAAAATAACTACAAAGCGCAAAAGAAAGTTTTAGTGAGTCGCTATAAGACCATTGGTGCTATTTAGTTAACGAATGTTGGGCATTGAAGAGGCAAGAATGGCCAAAAAATAGGGATAGCAAAGATGAGAATGTTAAGATCAATATGTGGTCAAGGAAAAATTGGTGTGGCACCTACTAAGGAGAAAATGGTAAGAAATGTTGGGCATTGAAGAGGCAAGAATGGCCAAAAATAGGGATAGCAAAGATGAGAATGTTAAGATCAATGTCAAGGAAAATTGGTGTGGCACTACTAAGGAGAAAATGGTAAGAAATTGATTAGAGATTTGCAAAGAAAGCTCCTAGAGGCGTTGGATAAGAGAGTTAAGTAAATTGTCTTCAGCCCCATAAAGAGCTGCCTCTAGTAAGACACTTATCACTAGGGGTGCCTATCAAGGAGAAAATGGTAGAATTTGATTAAAGTGATTTAAACATGTGCAAATAAGGCCACTCTAGAAGAACTAGTTAAGAGAGTTCAACCGATCGTCTTTAGCCATATGTAAAAATATCGAGAGAGATTTAAGAAAGACATATCTAAGGAAGTTATAGAACGGTATTTCATGATGGACGATATATTTGAACAATTTACTATCGACCCAATATTAAGTAAGATGCATACCTCTGTATAAGCTATATCATGCAGCGAGAAAACACAATAAACAATGATGGATGACATCAAGGGCCAATTCAGGAGGATATTTCCACTTTTCTGAACTGTTTTTTTCTGTGACTTCATTTTCTAAAGCGTGGAAATGTTTAGGTGAAGAAGGGGTGAGATGGTTAACTAAATTATTTAATGTGATTTTACGGTCCAAGAAAATGCCTGATGAGTGGAGGAGAAGTACATTAATTCCTATTTATAAAAATAAAGGAGATATTCAGAATTGTACTAACTATAGAGGGATTAAACTCATGAGCCACACAATGAAATTGTGGGAGAAAGTAATTGAGCACAGGTTGAGATTGGAGACAAGTATTTCTGAGAATCAATTTGGTTTTATACCAGGTAGATCAACTACAGAGGCAATTATCTACTAAGGGGATTAATGGAAAAGTATCGTTGTAAAGATAAAGATCTACACATGGTTTTTATTGATTTGGAAAAAGCTTATGACCGTATACCAAGAGAAGTGCTTTGGAAAGCGTTGGAAAAAAGGGAGTACGGATTGCTTATATTAAAGCCATACAAGATATGTATGAGGGGGTAAAAACTAGTATAAGAACGCCTTGTGGTCAAACAAAGGATTTTCCTATCAAGATTGGACTACATCAGGGATCATCTCTGAGTCCTTATTTGTTCAACTTGATTTTAAATGTTTTGACGGAACATATTCAAGAGGAAATCCCGAAATGTATGCTCTTCGCGGATGATATAGTTCTTATAGCAGAGACAAGAGAAGAGGTTAATTGCAAACTTGAGTTATGGAGGAGGACATTGGAGTCGAAAGGTTTTCGTCTGAGTAGAAGTAAGACGGAATATTTATATTGTAAATTTGGTAAAAGACTATTCGAAAATAATTTGGAAGTGAAATTGGGAGATCAAATCATACCTCAAGTGGAAAGTTTAGATATTTGGGAGCCATTATTCAAAATGATGGCGAAATTAGTGGAGATATTTCGCATAGAATTCAAGCTGGGTGGTTTAATTGGAGAAAAGCTAAAGGAGTTATTTGTGACCGTAAGGTGCCTAATAAACTTAAAGGAAAGTTTTATCGTACTGCTATCAGACCGGCAATGTTATATAGTAGTGAATGCTGGGCTCTAACGGGACAGCAAGAGTATAAAGTTGGAGTAGCAGAGATGAGAATGTTACGATGGATGTGCGGACATACACGTAAAGATAAAATTCGAAATGAGCACATACGTGAAAAAGTGAGGGTGGCACCTATTGAGGAAAAAATGGTAGAAAATCAGTTGAGATGGTTTGGGCATGTACAAAGTAGACCAAGGGAGGCACCAGTGAGAAGAGTGGAACATATAACTTTGAGTCCGATTAAGAGAGGTAGAGGAAGGCCTAAGAGAACACTCTTGGAAGTTGTTGAACGTGATCTCTTAATTAATAATATTTCTAAAAGCTTAATAAATGATAGAGCACAATGGCGTCTTGCAATCCATGTAGCCGACCCCACCTAGTGGGATAAAGGCTTGTTTGTTGTTGTTGTTTTTTCATTTTCTAAAGCTTCCGCATCCTTATTGGACTCATTGCTAACATTGTGTTTGTGCAATGTTTCCTGCAGATTTTACAAAGAAAATACTAACATCAGAATGTAGCCGTTGGTGACACAGAAGGCAGACTTTTTGACAAAAATAAACAGCTCAAGATACAGTACATATAATTCTAGTGTTCTACTTTTAGTATATTATATGTTTATACGCAGAGATCCCTTAAATGAATAGTATATTATATTATATCTCTTAAATTAGGCAGAGCACAAATCATCCTAATTATATTCATGGTTGGCATGAATCCCAATTTAAAAGAGTTATGCTCAATAAGGACGGATGAAAAATACATTTTTGCATCTGATTACACTTTACCGTTTGTACTACCCTCTGTATTATTAACTAGACCTCAAGTCTTGTGCATTACATGTAACCTAAGGAGAAAGCTACACTATTCATCGCTTATAAACAGTAAGGTTTGCAACAGATATATTAATATATAGATAGGCATTCCAAGTTGTATGGATATGCATACCGGGAGCCAGATGCAGGAAACTAACACAGCAAGTGCAAAGGCTGAAATTACAAAGCAGGGCAAGAAGAACGGGAACCTGTGAGCCATTTGTTTTGGGACAATATATATATATATATCAGCATATCAACAAGAAAATCAAAATGAACAATGAAAGAAAAATTGAATAAAAAGGAAGCCAAAAAACTAATGTTTTTTTTTTTTTGTCAAAAGCAAAAGCTATTGTTATTATTTAAAATCAGGACCAAGTATACTCACTTATCAAATAAGGAGCCTTCTGGAAATACATGTGGATATTTCTCTACTGGCTGCAATACCAAATTTCCAAATTATTAGAAGAACAATTGGTAAGTGCGCTCCTGGGCATGTTTCCACATACATGCAACGAACAGTTTGGGAAGTATGATGAATGAGAAGGCTTACAGACACCTGTAAACTCTCTCTCTCTCTCTCTCTCTCTCTCTCTCTAATAATAAGAAGAAGAAGATAGAGACCAACTATTGATAAAGAGCAAGGATAAGTTGATTACAATTACTTTAGATGACAATGAATTTAAATTGTAGATAGCGATAAACACCTAATCCATTAGAAATTCGGCTTTGGGTTTCTCAGCACAAAAAAATCATCTCATGCCCCTCTGAAAAAGCCACCTGTTCTCAAGATCTAGTTTGCTGCACAGGGCAAGGAAAAAAGTACCTGAGCCAAATAACCTCCCAATGCTGGACCAAGGACTAAAGCTATGCCCCAAGCTGAACTGAACTGAAACCATATCACACAATCAAATTATCATAAATAACAAGTACATATAGGAACTATTAGTAGACCAAAGTAAACTATGCTTACAGTAGCGAGTCCTTGAGCCTGGTGTTCTTCTCGAAAGATTTCAGTGGCAAAAGCCTAGTGGCACTAAATGTTGTTACACAACAGAACAGGCTATTGTAAAGAAAAAATAAAATGATGGACTGACTTCAAGTATGCAAATTCAACTTCTCATTGAGGCCTGGTGCTATCAAATGAAAATTTGAGTGAATTGATATTTTAGACCTCAAAAGTCAAAAGATACACTCAATCCCAATTTGGTCTCCCGAAGTTTGAATGTCCCATTGACGTCCTCCAAAGAGCTTTCCATCTTCAATACCGTCCTCACAATAAGCCCTTTAAAAAAAGAACGAACAAAGTGGATGATATGGGTTAATGTGTAGTTAATAAGGCCATTAGATGCCCAATTATCTTCAACCTTGATACTGCAGCAAAACAGCATGGTGCGCTGTTATGTGCATGTTTTAAATGACGATTAGGCACTTAACGATCACATCAGGTCTTCATAAAGAAAAGTCACCCTTCTCTGTCAGTTATTTATTAACATGCTTATTGTGAAAACGTTATTGAAGACAAGTTATCCTTTGAACAAGTAAAATGACACCTTAAAACTTTGGAGGACCAAATAGAGATAGTCTATCTTTTAATGACAAAAAAAACAGTTCACTCAACAAACTGTTCTTATCTGGTACATCCATAAATGGTACCTTGATTGTCCCAAGTGAACCATTTAAGCTTCCAAGAAGAAATCTTGTGATAACAGCCATCCAAAAGCTCGTGCTTAGGCCAAATAGTGTGTTAAAAACAACACTGAACTCAAATCATAATCAATATCAATATGGATAACTTCATTGACATGGTATTGTAAAGAGGAATGACATAACGAAAGGGAAAAAAACAATGGATGAAGTAAGGAGAGAAACTACCAAGACAACCTTATTTTAACTAGTCTCAAAAAACTGACATACAATTAGTTAAAGAACTATTTATAGGAAGATCATTACAAGAACTAAAATAAAATAAATAAAGCAGAGAATACACAATCAAAATATATATAAAAGAAAAAAGTCCCAACATGAACTAAATAATCACCGATTTTCTATGTATTTAACTCTCCTTTTTCGTGCCTGGAGTAAGTCTTCCATAATTTCATTTCTCCAAACAATATTTTTTTTATTCTCTATTATATTTTAGAGCTTAAAAGAAATCATCCAAATCAGGGGTAGTGTACTTACACTACTATAGTTCCTATGACTATAGTATATTTTCGACCATAACGATCAGCCACTATCCCCCAGGCTACAGATGTCAATCCTCTGCCAAGCATGAATGAAGAGCCTACAACATAATTCTTATGGAGATCAGCATTTTAAGATCTTATAAATCCCTCTAATAGACATCAATGGAATGGAAGGACTAAAAGGAACTTTACCTAGATAGCCAGCATAGGAGCCAATGTCTGCCTCCGTTTTTGCAACACCAAAATCTCTTACCTGCGAGTAATTTTCTTTTTTTTTTTTAATAATTCATCTTACACACTGGAGTATTGAGAATGCTCCTGGATGATCAAAAGTAAGAAGTAATATAGTTTATAAAGACTAACCAAAAGCTTTATTTCTTGAGTTATTTCATAAAGAACGTAGAAGGTAAAGCAATACTTTTTAACAGTTCAAGTGATCAATTAGACCATTTGATAGCCTGCCTGAATTGAGATTTGTTGTAGCGGTCTCTTCTAGAGATAAATGTTCCTCAACATTTACCAAGGCACTACCCAGCTGCACTTCAACTAATACCATTTAGGATTATTCAAAGGGCAACACTTAAGTACTTAGCCCTATATACTTAATGTACTATATCATCCAACTAAATTAAAACAAGTGGATTTTAATGTGTTTATAATCTTAATGACAAGATTTGTTATAAAATAAATAAGATATAAATGATCCACATGTCTTGATTTAATTGTAAACAAGCATCTCAAGTACATAAAGCTAAGTATATAAGTTTTTCCCTTATTCAAATACATACGTTTTTCAACCATCCCACCAGTAAGTCATTCATGAAATTTCAAGAAATTAAATTCCCGTTTTAGTCAACAATAGTAGACTAGTAGGCGTCCCAAAAAAAAAAAAAAATCTTACTGCTTGCACAAAATTGCTCCCCCCCCCCCCCAAGCTACGAAGGAAATGAAGGGGGTGTATACTTATAGTTCATCATTTTTCAAAAAAACAAAAAGAAACGAAACAAGGATTATCTGCTAAAGTTTCTCCAGCTACAGACCAACAAATTGGAAGATGTAAATATAGACTAGACAGATTTTCTCATGCATTTGCATAAAGTTTAAGGAATGAGCCGCCATTATGAATAGTCCAACTTGTAAAAGATTTTTATTACGTATCGATACTTCAATATATTTATTCAAATGCCAAAATTTATTAGGAAAATAAAAAATATTAACCTCAAGAAAATTAATCAAATCAACTGCTTACTAGATTTTGTTCCCATCTTGAAGCAAGTGGCTGCCGCTTTCAAAACTTAATGTGCATATTAAAAATAAAGCATGAAAAATTGAAATTGAAATAATAAATCAAGGATATCCAAAAGGGGAAAAAATCCCATCTATGTATAACAAAAAAATTGGATCAAGAGGCACTCGCTTTCAATACCTGACGTGCACGTTAAAAAGGAGCAGGCACTTAATTTTTTTTTTATTAATAAGGAGAAAATAAAACATAAAAAAAAAATTGATGTTGAACTTAATAATGTACAATATCCAAACACAAAAAAGAAAAAGAAAAATCTGCCATCCATGGCTATAATATAGCGCATCAAGAAGGTAGCAGTAAAGGCAAATGAAAAACCAAACTCACCATGAAATAAAGGAATGGAAAGATACATGTTATAGGCAGCGCTGTACAAAGCACAAGAAAAGAAAAACAAATGAGGTGCTCAACAAGAAAGGGAAAAAATGAAAAACAACATCAAACTAACTGATGACTAAAAAGTTTATGCACACAAATCGTGGGTGGAAAAAATCACATCGGGAGAACTACCTTTAAGTGAACTTGATAATGTTGAACCTTTGACCAAATAGTTGTATAAAAACATATACAGTTTGATAATAAATACTCGATTGAAAAAGAAAAAGTAAGCTTTTGTTTGTCTTGAAACTATTTCGTGACTTAAATCAGTCATCAAGGATTTCTCCTCTCTCCAAAAAAAGAAAGGAAGAAAAAACACGAACAATAATTAGATTTAGATTAATTTTGGGCTTTCAAACTGAGTGGAAGAATTAGAAAAACACCATAATATTCAAACAAAAGCCAAGAAGGTCTTCTTGAATTTAAAGGAACAATATGTTGCTATCACAAAATCGGGGGAAAAGATAATATAAATCAAAGGATTAGCTTATGAATTAAATTTTTTTCTGCTGAACTGAACCGAAGAACCAAGGGACTTCTCATTTCTTAAATTTCATAGGCAGCCAATGACCTCCGATTCAAATCAACCAAAGTTGAGAAGCCCATTATAATTTTGGAAAAATGACATGCAAGGACCTTGCTAGAGACATAAAGACAGTCAAATATCTCAAATTAAAAATAAAGTATTTTACGTCTAAAAAAACAACAAAATGCCCAAAAATTCGAATACAAAAATCGAAAGTTTAATTGTAAATAACGAAAGTAAAGTCAGTTTATCTAAAGCTCCATTTTTGGATTCCCAAATTTCAGTCGAGCAGAGAGACATTTTGGTTCATATCATTTTTCTTTATGAATCAATAAAGAACCTTAGTCCTTAATTGTCATTTCTTAAATTAGGAGTTGAGTGGCGCGCTTCGTCCTTGTCATTTTCCCCATAATTTCACTACAAAGAAGACCTCTTCTCTTGTTGCCAATCACTACATGTGGTAGCAGTAGCACATATAGTCATATAGCGATCAAAATAGGTCAACGTAGTTCAAATTTCAAAAACATATGAATGAAGCACTTCAAGATCACATTGATTCTTCTGACCGGACAAAAATAAGTTTGAGAATGTTAGATTGTTAACTTAAATACTTACTGGCGCACATAGTTAGCATCCATATATAGAAAAGATACTTCACTGGTGATCCTCGGTTCATTTCTTTGGCTCGATCCACCTTACACCCTGGGCAGTTCTCGTAGTACCGAATCTTCAGCAATGGCTCTCTACTGCTGCTATCTTCATTATAATCGTCCGTCATATTCGATTTCCGCGAAATTCTGCTTCCTAAACATTTAGATTTTTTTTGCCCGATTCAGAAAACGCTAAAACCCTCCAGAAATTAAAATCAGAAGAAGACATCTGAGAAATAATGAGGGCGTTTTGCTTGTTTCCAAGACCACGGAAGCGAAGAACCAGAACGTGAGACGAAAACTAAAAGAAGAAACTTACAGAGTTCTGGAGAAATTGCTGGAGGAGATGGTGAAGAAGCTTGCTGTGTGTATTGGAGAAAACAATAGCATATGAAAGAAAGTCCATGGCGATGTATGATTGATTGGAGAGAAATAATAACAAATGGAAAGTTGATACTGTTTGAAAGAAAAATAATTGGAGACACTCCTCGAAGAATTAGTTCTTATCTAACTGTCGCAGAATCATTCAAAGACTCACGAGGACTTTCGCGCCACAACAAATTGACCCGCGCTATGCTCCGATTCTATTTTTTTTTTTAATATTTTAATATATTGAGTGGAAAATAAGGGGAGGAATGAGTGCAGGATTTCAAAGATCAATTCAATCTCAGTCTCCAAAAACTTCAAAATTTTAGTAGTAAAAATTTCATATTTGTATTAAGATACTAAAATTTAAAATTAATTAATTAATTTTAAACATGTGAAATGCTATGTCCAATATAAAATTTACAAAAGTCAAATTATTTATAAATCACCTATAAAGAGAAATTATTGCATAATCATAGTGCACATCATTATTTATATATTATCTAATAAAAATATGTCAGGTAAAATTCAATTTAATCTTTTATAATTATATCTTATTTATGTTATTTTTTATTATTTTAATTTATTATATTTTTTACTCTCCCTTCATTCATAATGATGTAAAAAGAGAAAATACTGGGAATTTAAAAAGGCACTCTATTTTCCAAAAAAAAAAATCACTAAAACTAAGAAAAAATCACAATCATTGACCCGTGAAAAACTTTTTAGTAAAAAATAAAAAAATCAAAATATTCTAATTTTAGATTGTAGGATCAGAGGGCTAAATTGTAAATAAATTCAAATGTAAAATGATAAAAATACCCTTTTTTTAAAAGTTAACCCCACAATCATGGTCGCTAATTTAAATAGTAAAGAGCCGGGTGGCCTAGGGAGCTTGCATCCATGATCCTTTGGCTACCTAAAATATTATAGCCATCAAGTTACAAAGTCTGTTTAATCATACTACAAGTCGTTTTCTTTGATGGTCACCTTTTCCATTTAAGTTAATTGGTTACCGAAGCCAATGATTGTGGGGTTAAAAAAAAGGTACTTTTGGGCTCGTTTGATTGTTGTTTTTAGTTTTTGTTTTCAAAAATTGTTTTATAAAACGATTTTAAAATTTGTTTTTGAGAACAAATAAAAAAAACTTATTTGATAATAGTAATTCAAAAATAGTTTTGTAAACTTATGAGATAGGTGATTTTTTTTTTTATCGAGACAAAATTACAATGTTTGTCATTAACGAGAACAATTATCATTTCTTGTTTTCCATTTTTCACTGAAAAACTAAAAAAATGAATAAAAACAGTTAAAAATTGTTTTGGTTTTCTTGTATTTAAAAAAAATTAAAACTGTTTTCAAAATAAAAATTTAAATATCATAACCAAACAAGTTTTTTTGTTTTAAAAATATTAAAATAAAAAACAATTTTTAAAAATAATAAACAAACAGGCTCGTCATTTTACACCCAAATTTATTTACTTTTTAGTACTCTAGACTTGCCATGTAAAATCAAAATGTTTTGGTCATTTTTTGTGAAAAAGTTGCTCTAAAGCTCCTTGATTTTTATTTTCCCAAAAAAAATATTAATTGAATTGATGTAATTTTATTAAAGAGAATATGAATGAGGTAATGCTCTTGATTTATGCAAAAAATTTTCCAAAAAAATATTTATCAGTATAATTATTTATTATTTTTTGAATTTATATTAACATAAATTGATTTTTTTTAAAATTAGATGGACTCAATATAAAGATTGAAATAATATTGTAAAATTTACTTCAGGATTTAATTTTTATAAATAGGACAAAATACTGGAACAGCTTTTCATAGTCTATAACTCTATACCGCTCAAAATGAACTAGAAGGCGCAGGTGATAAAAGTGAATTTTTTTATTTAAAAAAAGACATAGTAGACCTTGTTTGTTTGATAATGAGCTAATTAATTAAGATATATAATGAAATTTGAACATTATTAAAGTGATCAAATAGATAGAGTCAAAGATCTATGATAAAGTTGATATTGACTATTTATCCGACAAAATTAGCTGCTCTTCACGCTCTGCATAGTTGTCACATCACATATCATTCCATCAGTCGTGTAATTTAACAGCATTAATTTATTTTAAAATATTAAAAATGACTTAGATAAATTAACAAAACGTTAAATATTAAAATGAAATGATAGAGCGGGCTTGAGCTTGACCTTAAGTTTGAGCTTGACTTAGGTTTAAACTTGCTCACTCAAATTAATTTATCTCAAAAGATCAAATAAATAACTCCTTCAAATATATATAGGAATAAAAATTACATTATCATCTTAAAATATACTATTTGAAGTGATAAAGTGGGTTTGAATTAGGTAAAAAAAATGATTGAGTAGAGCTTAGTTGCTTTGTGTAATGAAATTGGAGTTAAAAGGGTAAAAATGTCTTAAGATTATTTTTTTTAGGAGCACTTAGTATTTTAAATTTTTTTTAGAATAATTTTATCATGAAACTTTAAAAATCAAGTAATTTTGCTCTGTCATCAATGTTGACCATTAATTAATCGTGTGTTTAACTTTAACTATCACTTGGCTACCGTGTGACATTTTTAAAAAATTAAAAAAATATATATATACACATGGCTCTCTTATTCCTTAGTTATCTCCAGCTTTTCTTCTTACTCAATCATCTTCTCTTCCTCAATCGCTAGAGATTACACACGGACTTGATGAAATTGACGAGTGAGCATACCCAACTTCTCACACCCACTATTAATTAAAGTCGAAAATTCGGGCGGGCCGAGCCTATTCAGACCAAGCCCAAATAGGCCCAGCCTGAATAAGCCCAAACCCAAACAGGCCCAACTCCTTGAAAAGCCCGAATAGCCAAGCTCAACCCAAATTCTTTCGGGCTTCGAGCGGCCCGAATACCCGAATTTAATTTTTAAAATTATTTTTAATTATTTTTTACTTTGAAATTAATTATTTTATTTTATAAAAAATATAAAATATATTTTTTTAAAACTTAAATGATGTCTAGGACTCAAATATATGGTATTTTAGTATAAAATGATCTAAAACTTAAAGAATTAATTAATATTTATTATATTTTATATATTTTTTAAAAAATATAATTTTTTATTCGGATATTCGAGCCAAGCCCGAACCTGAACGAGCTTGGCCCGAATAGGCCCGAATATAAAAAAATATCATTTTTTTAAGCCCGATCCTAAAATTTTTCGGGCCAATTCGGACTAGCTCGTCGGGCTTGGCCCGAATTACCGGATTTACTATTAATCTTGTCTACATCCAATAATGCGAAGTTAGAAGAAGAGCTAGAATTTGAGACCATGGTTAGAATCACATGTGAATCTTTTTAAAAGTAATGATCAACAAATGATCATATTAATTGTAGTGCAAAATTTCACTCTTTTCAAAAGTTTAAGGTAACAAGTGTTTTTTTGTGTAAAAAAATTTCAATGTATTTTTGTCCGTTAACCCATAAAACTAAAGGAAAAATAATATAATTAAGTAAAAGGTAATTAAATTTGAATATTAATTATTGAAGTGATAAAGTAGATGAGGTCAAAGGAAAAAAAAAAAGTGATGCAATAGATATTGACAATTTGACATCAACAAGAAACTCATGAGAAATGTTACACTCATGGACTTACCGACAAACAGATTGAGTATTGAGTAAGTACCTAAAAATATTAATAAAATACAACAATTTTATTGCCTTTTTGATGAGACCATAGAATGTAAAAAAAAGAAAAAACACTATGATATGTCCCTATAGTTTCATGTCTTTTTGGTTTTAATCTTTGAAGTTTGTTTTCGTTGTTCTTGATTCCTATAGTTTCATGTCATTTTGACTTTAGTCCCTAAAGTTTGTTTTAATCCCTAATTACACCTAAAAAATACTGAGGTGTAATTAATATCATTAATTATTATGTAGAGATGTTACTCTTATGCTTAGTTGGCAATGAATTATAAGTCATTAGGTTTTTATTTTCCCTAGCCCATAAGATAAACTGCAGACATGAGCGAAAGGACTACTTCAAAGACATACGTTTAACTGCTTCAAATGGAAGACATAATGAGAAGATATGATCGATGAACTTAGGAGGAGATGCAAAGAGGAGAGCTAGGGTAGAGGAGACGTTGTGATGACTGATCGTGTAAGGTTTCTTAATTCCAGTTATGTACCAGCTAAGTATAAGAATAATACCTCTGCATAATAATTAATAGTGTTAATTACACCTCAGCATTTTTGACGACGTTAATAACAGGAGGGACTAAAGTTTTGGGCGACAGAAATTATAAGGACCAGGAACAACAAAAACAAATTTTAAAGACTAAAACCAAAACGAGATAAAACTATAGGGACCAAGAACAATGAAAACACAAAAACTAAAAAGATATGAAACTATAGGGACCTATCATAGTGTTTTCCTAAAAAAATATCATTTAGATCACTTGACCAAATTTAATTAAAAAGAAAGGCTGAGAAACTCTAAAATTTCACATGGTCTAAGATCACTATAATAAAATTAAAATGCTAAGGAAAATCAACTAGTTATCCCTACTGAAAGATAGTTCATTAATATAAGTTATTTGTTTCCTTATATACTGTTGTTTATTAACTAACATTAAGCTGTTCATTACCCTATTGTATGTTGTTTGTTCATTACTTTCAATTGATTTCATTTCGAGTATTTGTAACATCACAATTTAAATTTTAATAGTTAATTTAGATTAATAGAAATTTTAAAAAAATATTTAAAGGTAAGCAAATTAGTAGGAGATGATTATTAAATCTAACTTAGAATATAATTCTAAATTAAAATTAAACAAAAATTAAATTAAAATTAATTAAAAATAATAAAAAAATATTATTAAATTATTATTATTATAATAAAAAAGAAAAGGTATTAAAAAAAAGAAAGGAAGAAGAAGAAGAAGAAGAACGAGATTGCTTTCGACGGCCGCATAATGATTACATATAAAATAATAAAAAAAAAGAAAGAAGAGAGAGGAAAGAAGAAATAATAAAAAAAAGTGAGACCCACTAAATTTTTATAAAAACTCACCTGTTTCCTTCTTTC